TGTGCGAAAGCACATGAGTGTAGCATAAGATGTAGGGGAAAAATACAAAATGCATGGCACAGTTCTATTGCTTTTAAAGACTTTTTTCCATAACATCATAGTTTTCAGCCCAAGCAAATAAACCTCCATGGTCATTTTGAATGGCAGCCTTTGAATGGGCTCTCATTGTAAGTAAATCAGTTTTCTTAAAGGCTGTCACACAAGCATTTGGAATGGATATTAGTGAACTCTCCAGCTAATTTTGGGCTGTGGGAAAAAGTTCTCTTACCTCTGTTAACCTCTATACAGATTCCTCCCGAGAAACGTATGTCCTTTTTCTTTCTTCCGCTCCAACAGCAAGACCAGCTGTTTGGCAGCAAGGCTGGGCACTCAGTCAGAGCTCTTACTTCATCCAGAAGAGGTTTTATCTTTCATAATGTATACTGTAAATATTTTGTTTTAGCAGATCTGATTTGAAACAATCCTGGGTGAGTGACGGGATCTGCCCTGAGACAGTCACAGACCGTTTCTCCTTCCTTATAGGTAATGGCAGATGAAACTTGTGTGAGACCAAAATATTTCATCTATAATTCTTGGTAGGTTTCCTGTAGCCCAAATGAGAGTTTAAAACAGATATAAATCAGGCCCAGCAAACAGTAATGCCACGCACTGCAAACATCAAGAAATTGTTCCTTGCAGCTGTGCTGAAAGTGGAGGCAGAGCTGTCTATTCAGCTGTCTACTGAATATATTTTTTAATTATAGTTGTTTAGAGAAAGTTTGAGCAGGCTAAATTCACCAAGTGCATTATTTATTCCAAATATCTATCAATGTTACCTCAAGCATTTTTCTAAAGGCTGGCTCCCACTCATTTACACAAGGAACTACAATTCAGAAACAACAAAAGTAGACGCGTATAAACATGTGTACTAAGCCGAGAATTTAACACAAATCTCAGATGCAAGTTTCTAAATAAATGGCCAGCAACCCTAATGCGAGGTTATGTGATAAAAAGCTTTAGGAGCACAAAGGAGCACAGAGGAACTGTGGTCCCTCAGGTGGAGGGAACCTCAATAACCTTACAGTCAGAGAAAGAGAGACGCTGTCCCATCTCCTCCCAGGGCTGACACAGGAAGGCCATCAGCCCCAGGGGCTGGAGGTGGCATCCATCATGCTAAGTCAACTGGAGAGGCTCTCTGAATCACCTTATAATCTAGGGGAGTTACTGCCTAGGGATATGGGACACATTATGGGATGCCAAGGAGTGGTATTTGGGTATTGTAAAAGACTTATTATGAAATGTTTTGTGGAGGAACCAAAGACAGGGAAAGGGAGGGATCAAGTTGGTCTGGCAAAGGACGAGTGTGGGAAAATAGAGAACAGGATTAAAGAGACTGCTTATGTGTAAACAGGTTGCTGGTCAGTACACTTGTCTGATCATGTCCTGCCCCTGCTTACTCAATTTCTAACTATTTTCCTGGGTGAGGTAACTATTTTGTGTGCGTGTGCATGTATGGAGGTCGAGGGGCCAGCAACGGGAGGCAGACCACTGGTCACAGGGGCCCATGTGGTGCCAGCAGCTGGAGAGACTGGAGTAAGTGAATATTTAAGTGCCAGCAACTGGAGTGAGTGGGGGTATGTGTGTGTGAGTGGGTGTGATAGCTATCAAACATCAAACTGGGCTAGCCAGTGAGTAGATTAATTGGTTTGAGAGCCAGGAATACGTGCATGTCTGAGTAAGACAACTGGAGGGGTTGGCTCCCAGGGCCCTGGCAAGTATTAATAGGCCTTAGTTTCCCTGACCAGCCTCACCTGAGGCCTCCACCAATGCACCCTGCCCGTTAACACAGGGCCTTCATTTAAACTTAGCCCTGGGCCTCCAGTCCCTGTCTGTGCTGTGTTGGAGGAGTATTGATCTACAGCTGAGCCATGCCTGTGCCTGGCCATGGGTCCCGTAGTTCTGGACCTCAAACTGTGGACTGACTTCCTGACTTGACCTTGACCTTGGCCATGCCTTGTCACCATGGACCTGCTTAGCAATCACTAGATCTGATCCTGAATTGTGGTTTAATTTCCTGGCTTGACCTCAGACCTGCCTTATCACCATGATATTGCCTTATGATCTGGACTCTTGGTTGAACCTGACAACCGTCTGTGGGTCTATCCTGCTTACCTTGCTCTGATATTGTGGAACTAGGTCTTGACTGACAGGGACCTGCCCTGCTAGTCATGTTAACCCCTTGGATCCTGGTTCCCCATACCATAGGGACCAGCTAGCTCTTGCTGCTCCAAGACTTCAGCTACCGGAGGGACCAGGATGCCCAGGCCAATAGCCCATAAGGTCTGGGAGTTGACCGAGAAACCCATTTCTGTGCATGTGTGTGTCTGCATGGGAGGCAACTGGGGACAAGAGGATCCAGCACCAGTTAAGGGTACACTGAGTGTCTAAGCCACATACTGGAGGGACCCACATTGTGTGTGTGTGTGTGTCTGTGTGTCTGTGCGTTGGTATGTGCAAGGGAGCTTTACACCAGCAGCGGGAGCGGGGGTTACAGGCCTTGGTCTCGCATGCCCAGGTGCCAGTGGCCGGGGAGAGCAAGGATCCAGGACCAGTTGCTGCATGGTGCATATGTCTATGGCCAATTACTGGGGGATCCATAATACCCCTGTGGGGGGGTGCAGGCACGCATGTGTGAGCGAGTGGGTCTGTACCGCCAACTTGGAGCGGGGCTGTGGGCATTGGTGGCTCGTAAGCCTAGGCGCCAGCAACTGGAGAGACATGGAGATCCTGGGGCCTGCTGCTGAATAGACTGACTGTCTACGGCAGAAACTGAGTCCCTTCTATCTATAATATTTATGTTAAAACAGCTACAGGAGTGTGTCTGAAGCTTACTTAACCCTCAGGGTAGTTACTAGAGTTAGCAATTACATGGCAAAATAAAATTGCAGCTCAGCACATTTCTGTTCAGAATAAAACAAAGAGAGTGCCTTGCAGAACGATAGCTATTTCTTGGTGCAAAAGGACAGGATTTTCCACCAAGCTGCAAAATCTATAGGAAGAAACTGTTCTTTGTTTTGAATACTGACAAAGTGGAAAACTCGAGAAGAAAAGACGAAAACATTTTCGCTTATTGCTCACAAAATACAATTTTCACTTCTATAGCTATTTTAAGTTTTTACTTACTGTGTTGTATCACCCAAAAAGGGAAGACCTAAGACAATATATTGCTGAAGAAACAGATGGCAGAATGTGAAAGAAGCTGACAGTAGCAAAACCATGGTCAGATCATACTAGAAACTAACCTTGGTTTAATGTTCAGATATAGTGCTTAGGGAGCTTGTTAAGCCCAATGTTGTTACGGACAAAAGAAAACATACCTTATATGTGAAGTCAAAAGTTTAGTATTAGTGTAATTGAAATCTCAACAGTCTAATCAAAGAATTATTAGTCCAGATTCAACTACTACTGAAAAAGAAAACTATCATACAGGAAAAAAGTCACATTAGTAACACCACAGTTGAAATCATTATATACACTCCCCCTCCCCCTCCAAAACTCTAAACCACCCAACCAGAAAGACCCCCACCGACCAGAGGTAACACAGTCACATGCTTTGTTAGAGAAATCTTCCCTGCCACCTTTCCATTGCAAAGTTGAATGCAGATGAAGTTTAGCTTCCCTTGTTGTTCTACGCATTGTGCAATGGTGACACAAATGACTATCATAAAGACCTCTGCTGAGGACATCTGGGGCTTGTTCCAGAATGTATTCTCATCTGCTTCTGTTGTCCACATCTGGGAGAAATACAACCCTGAACTAGAGGAGGGGACAGTCCTTTCAATGACAGTGACTTGCAATTTCTGCTCTTGGCAGCATTCAGTAAAGACTGGACGCTATAATGCTATATACTGTCCCAATAAACCCGCATTTACATAGTGCTACAATAAGACAATTCAGAAGTGTTTGACATGATTTTACATGTAAAAAAAATAAGTTAGATAATCAGTACATGTTAAAGAGTTCTAGTTAACCTAGTGTTAATGCAGACACCAAGTGCTAGAAGATGACGTTATCACTTGATAACAAGTAAGATGTGGTTTGTCTTTGTCAAGGTTACTTGCAATTTACCTTTTTTGATTGGAATCAGAAATGGGAACATTCAAGAAAATCAGGAAGAGGTCTGTTGCAATACATTTATGCCAAAGCAGATTGACATATTACCTATGAAATATTGCCAGCTTTCAGAAATATAGAAAAGAGATTTAGCTACAGACTGGATTACATTTGCCAATAAGTTGCCTGTTTTGTCTGCTGTTGAATGAAATCAAAACCTGTTGCGATAGTAAATCACCTAGTATGAAGTATTAGGAAACAAAGTATTACTACTTCATGTTTACTGACTTTTGCTAGTAAACCTGTTAGAGATGGTAATTACAGCATACTATCAGTTGAGGTTTAGAACATCTCTATTTCAAAAAAAAATTGCTAACAGTTTTTGGTTTAAGAAACCTGCTAAAAGCAATTGAGAGAACACTTTTGCTTAGAAGCACAATGCAGTTGTTTCACGCTGTAATTTTATAAAATACAATTTGCATAAA